CAGGAATCCACACTCCAGAGGTGATTGCAAATATTAAAATCTACACCAGAGTTCTGCTAATTACCATAAGGGATTTCAGAAATGTTTCACTGACAAATGAGTGATGTGCAATCACGATAAACGGTGATCTGGACCACGTGGGCATCACAGCCCTTGCACGAGCAGGATACTGGAACCTGGCGATCCGAGCAGCCAAACACCTGTGGAGCAGCGCTCTCTGACCAGCACTGTCCAGTACAGTGGCTGCCAGACACATGTGGCAATTTACATTTAAGTTCAAAATAATTAACACTAAGTCAGAAACTCAGTTTAGTCACACTAACCTCATTTGAAATCCTCAACAGCCTCACGTGGCTATTGGCTACCATGTTGGACGATGCAGATGTAAAGCATTTCCATCGTCATAGAAAGTTCCACTGGACAGAAGTGTTCCAGACCTAGAGCTCCATTTGGTCTGGGTGCTCCTCCTTCCCCCAGAGGAGGACCTTGTTGCCTCAACTGACTGAAAGGCTGATTAATCCCGCCTTCAGAATAACAGTGCATCCTCCTTGGAGAACGAAGAATGAACTTCACCAGATTTGTAATGACAGGCTGTATAACGGTTTTGTGTCTACTTAATTTTACAAAGAAGAATTAGCCTGACATGCTTCCATTGCACTCATACCACCTAGTGGTGAAGCTGCCTAGGAGAGGATGTACAGCCCCAGCTACTTCTAACAGAGGCCAGAAATGTTTACTAAAAGGAACTGACAAGTGCTGGATGCTAAATTGGCTTAGACTGGTACACAAATCCCTCAGCCATCTTATATTTTCCAAAAAAATTAAAAATGAGTATTAGGGATACTGAGAGGTATATGTAATGAATTATAAAAGTACTTTTTAAGACATACCTGGGGAAATGAACTCCAGTAAGCAGTGAAGGAAAGTGGTTGAAAAGGTAGTCAGATTTATGATTAGAAAAACAGTTTTAGCAGCAAGGTAAAGGACACACCAGAAAAGATGAGGCTTTAACATTAATTCAGATGAAAGATCATGAAAAGTTGAACTGAGGTAGCTCCTAATGAAACGAAAGAACAGAACTGGGTTCTAGATGTTTCGGTGCAAGGAATTATAGGGCTTGCTGGTTAATTAGACAGGAAAACGGAGGAAGAGAAACAGGTTAAGATTGACTGCTCAAAATTTCAAGTATGGTTGCCTGAGTGACTGGTCACTCTACTTTCTACCTCACTTGGTTTTTTTGTTTGTTTGTTTTTTTAAGAGAGGTTCTTGCTCACTGATAGAATGTCGCAGTGCAGTGGTGTGATCACAGCTCACCACAGCCTGGAACTCCTGAGCCCAGGCGATCCTCCTGCCTCAGCCTCCCAAGTAGCTGGGACTACAGGCGCGCACCACCACGCCAGGATTACCTTTTATGTTTTGTAGAAACAGAGTCTCGCTATGTTGCTTAGGCTGGTCTTGAACTCCTGGCCTCAAGCAATCCTCCTTGCCTTGGCCTCTCAAAGAACTGGGATTACAGACGTGAGCCACTATGCCTGGCTTCTATTTCAGTTCTTGTGCGTTCCTGAAATCTCAACACCCCATGCCTCAGTTCAGACATTTTGCTTTGACTGGAATGTCTTTTCCTATCTTCGCCACTAGTCCTACGCTAACTTCCTACCTGTGAGTTCTCAGAAACTATGGCCCAGATACATTCCAAAAGTCCGTCACAGCAACCTACATATGGGATCCTACACTTAATCTCCACTTTCTGTGGTTTTACTTAGGCTGGTTCCTCTGCCTAAAACGCTGTACTTTTACTTTGTTGACCTGTTCAACATTCACACATCATTTAGGACCCAGCTTGTCTGTTCCAATATCATATTGTTCCTAATTCTACTCTAGCTCTTAAAAGTTTGAACTTTCTTTTCGATACCATTATTATTATCATCACCAAACATGTTGACATTATCTGATAAACTAGTCAAGAGCCAAATAAGCTTAAAGGTCAAAAATACCTTTCTTTTCAATTTTCTCTTTTGCCTTCTTTTCTTCCCCTGCTCCTCCTTTCATCTGTTCTTTGGCATCAGAAGATATGGTTGTTATCGGTGTAGGCCGCATCATATTTTCAGAAACCACAGAATTAGCTTGCAGTGGAGTCCCAGATGGAAACGGAATTTGCTTCACTGATACAGAAAATGAAACAGATAATGTCATTTATATTAAAATCAACAAGCAAGGTGAAAAATATGGAATTGTGAATCATAGCTATGAACTCTTTTTAAAAGAAAAGTTCACTGTACGTGACTCTTAAGTGTCTCCTGTCTGAGACTGTGGAAAGGCTGCCAAGAAATGAAGTATATTTGAACCATGATGGAGGTAAAAGAACAAAGCCATGATTCTCATTTAATTACTAAACTGAGGAAATTGCAGATAGCAAAACTAACAGCTAACATTTATTATGGACTGTGTCCCAAATACTTTTTAAAATGCATTGTATGAATTAACTCATGCAATTCTCATATATACCCTAAGAAGGATGTTCTATTCATGTCCCCATTTTACAAATGATAAATCTGAGCCATCCAGGAGTTAAGAAATTCGCCCATCACACAGACAGTGAGAAGAGGAGTAAGAATTTATACCCAGGCAGTCTGTTTCCAGAGACTACACTCTCACAGTCTGGCATGATGGCAAGTTTTCCACTCAGGTTTTCTTTCATATTGAACAATCAACTGGGAAAGGCATTTAATATTAGTCATTTCTATGCTAGAATTAATGGAGAGACAGCATTACTTCTCCATAATTGTATATCAAAAACGACTTTTTAAAGAAGCAAAGGAAAGTCTATCAGCAAAATTTTAAGATGTTAAAAAAACAATTCACATATCCCAATGAACACAGAAAAATATAATCTCACGAGGGATTTCGATGCGGCTCAGATTCTGGCCAATATCCAGGCCACTTTTCCGAGGTATTTTTTAAGTTCCCTAGAGGGTATTGCTTCTTTTAATAACGTGAATTTCTATTTTATGTTTCACCACCAGACAGAATTCACCACTTTAATTCAAACCACTGGTCTGGTTTAACATTTCATTAATAAATTTAGAGTTTAAAAGTTTACTGTTTATAGGGGCAGTCTTCAAGCATTGGGAGAAATGAAAAGCAGTTTTAAGCAGCTAATATTTTAATGCTTATTTAATTCTATACCTGCTCTCCAAATCTACTAGTCTTGGAAAGCATCAACTAGTCTCAGATCTTCCACTGACAAACAATATTCTCTCTAGTAGACAGCTCTAATACATCGTTGATTTTTCCCTTATTTTTATTTATCTAACTAAAGGCAGAATTCATACTACAACTTTCAAAATAATTCACTGACAGAATAATGGTCAGAAGGAAACAATAAGAGAAATTTTAACAGAACTATTGTTATTATTCTCATTGTTTTATAATAATATAAATTTACCTAGAAACTTTCAAAACAATTCAATAAAATTTGGAATTTTATACAAGTGCTGGATGCTAAATTGGCTTAGACTGGTACACAAATCCCTCAGCCATCTTATATTTTCCAAAAAAATTAAAAATGAGTATTAGGGATACTGAGAGGTATATGTAATGAATTATAAAAGTACTTTTTAAGACATGCCTGGGGAAATGAACTCCAGTAAGCAGTGAAGGAGTCCTGTGGCCATCGGATAGGAAACCGCAACGGAAAGACATCAGGAAAGAGGGAACAAAAGTGACAGACGCATGCAACAGTAATTTCAGTCATACAGATTTACCTGTTCAAGGGGAACATGATTCACCAGGCCACTCACAACTGTTCTTGGGGCTGTTTCTCCAATGTCTACTTCTTCTACATACAAAGAATCTGCATCAGGGTGTTTTCTGGCAGATAAAATGCAACCAATTCGAAGATCCAGGCGGGAAACATCTATTGGCTTGGAGTCGGCACTTCCCGCTGCCGACGGCTGTTTTTTCTCCTTTTTCTCTCCTAAAAAAGTAATTATGAATGGGTAAACATCAGAAGGAAAACAAAATTACACTATGAAAAACCCATGGTATCAATATTGACGAGTTTAAAAGAAAAAAAGAATATTTATCTCCTACCTTCATTTCGATAATAACAAAGGAAAGAACTATTCAAGTCATGTCTCGAACCCTATTTGAGCTACTTCCTTGTTCTATTTCTAGCTCGAATACACGGTGCAGAGGTGGCGACTACAGCTCATGGGCCAAATCCAGCCTGATGCCTGTTTTTGTAAGTACAGTGTTACTGGAACACAACCATATTCGTTCATTTACATATTATCTACGGATACTTTTGCACTAGGGTAGAGTTGAGGAGTGACAGAGACATCACGGCTCAGCAAGCCTAACATATTTACTACAAGGCATGTTACAGAAAAAGTTTGCCTTTTCCTGAGACAGAGCCATAGGAAATCCTCCAAAAACTTTTACTTTGACTCTTTGGAGGGTGAAAAATCCTTTATTTAGAAAGAACACTACAACCAGTAGCCAAATGACAGAATGAACTACAGTGAAATAAAATTTCACTGATAGAATGTTTCTCTCACCATTTATACACACAAATAAACATAAAATGAATTTCTCCAATTCTTAGATCTCCCTGAAGATTTATGAGGACTTTAGGTTTAACCATAGCAAGTAATTTTTTTTCCCTAAGAGAAGGGGGTCTTGCTATGTTGCTCAAGCTGGACTTGAAATCTTGGGCACAAGCAATCCTCCCATCTCACCCCTCTATGGGAGTACAGGTCCCAGCAAATCCTGCTTCTGATTAAGTTTTATTAATAATAATTCTACTTTTATTTATATGCCGATCATGTAACTCTTACTAACAAATGATTATTTCAGCTACTGAGCCAAATTCAATCTGCAAAGAGGATTCATATTCCTTAAGTTTACAATTAGGTGCTGTGGCAAAAAAATAAATAAAAACAAAAACTTATTTTCCTTTGAATCTGCAGGGCACAGATGAATTACTGTAGCGTGGAAGTGGTCCTTCTAAACTATACCTTTATTTTATTTTTTAACCAATATTTACTGAGGGCTAAGGCCCTGGAAAGAGTAAGATGAGGGGCCCACAGTGTCAAAGCACTCAAAAAAAAATCTCTTTTAAGGAAGACGAACACGTGTGTAATGAATATGCAATAAATATTACATACAAAGAAATATAGAAACACAGAGAAGAATAATTCTGCACAGAACAGGAAAGAAGGATTTTGTGTAAAGGACATTCACAATTTATACAAAGATAGC